ACTTGGAAGATCTAGAATTCGCCGAAGATATATGTTTGATTTCCCATAAACTGGAAGATATCCAAGTGAAAAGCAACAAGTTGGCAGAAGAATCATCCTGAGAAGATAGGACTTCAGGTGAACATTGAGAAAACGGAGGCGATGAACTGACGAGGATATCAAAACAGCGAGGATCGGAAAAGCAAGACAAGCTTTCATCACTCTCAAGTCTGTGTGGAGGTCAACAGCACTCAGCATCAAAAATAACATCCGGATTTTCAACTCTAATGTGAAGTCAGTGCTACTATACGGATCAGAGACTTGCACTGCGCACCTCAAACAAACTACAGACCTCCACCAACAGCTGTCTTCTCTCAATACTACTCAAGGTCAGATGGCCGGCCAGAAAAGACCAGCAACAGGGAGGGATTTCCGGGAGCGAACGAATCCAGCAGGAACCGATTGTGCAACAAATAGGTCGGAAGAAATGGAGGTGGACTGGCCATATTCTGAGAAAACAAACCATCAAGTGACATCACTAGACAAGCCATCGCTCGAGTGGAACCAGGCCGAATGGGAAGCGGCGAGTTGGTCGTCAGTGCGAGGGTGACTTGGAGGAGGTCATGTGAAGAGGAGATGAAAGGATGTGGGCAGACTTGGAGTGGGGTGAAAAAGTTGGCAGAAAACCGAAGGCAATGGAGACGCGCAGCTGAAGCCCTATGTTCCTCTAGGAATCAAAGGATATAATAATAACAGTGATTTCATTCCTTCACACTGGACAGTTATATTTGTATTGATAAAAAAGGGGAGTTCTTCATTCTTCTGCGTTTCAAATAGATGACGACGTTTCGAGCATAAATTATTGGCACTCAAAATCATATCAATTTTAGTTACACGGTTTTACGATTTGTCTTACATGTATTTTTTTCCCTGTTTTCATGGTAGGCACACCTTAATAACAGTTTTCTCAGGATTTCCGTTGGGAAGCCGATATCTATCGATTGGTTATCCACTTGTTCACATATGCTAGAGACGGACATTTGTGTGATTCATTTGTAAGGCATGGTAAGTTCGGCGGTTTTCTTATGTTCAACCTATGCTTGTCTACCTTCAGGTCGATTACGAAGTGTGCAGGGATTGGTTATCCAAGACAAGAAAACGGATGACCAATAAGAGTGCCCCTTCCCTCTCATCTAATTAACTGTATTGTGATTGGTTGTAAAGATAATCCTTGACCTTGAGTCTTTGTTCTTACTAGCACGCGACACTTGTGTGATCACACTGCTAACGTGCACTTTGTTCTCTGTTTCAGATCATTGCTTGACAAGTGGGATTACACATTTAACAACTAATCATACACATATTCTACAATTTCTTTTGTGAATTATTATATAATAACAAATTAGTAATATTACCAATACTAATACCAGTACTAGTAATAATAATAATAATAATAATAATAGTAAGAGGAATTAGCATATCACATGAATTGTACAAATTAGGCATAAAAGTTCACTCGATACACTCAATACATATACACAACTTATGATCAAATATTAGAGAGATCACATGGGCAATTTCTTTAAAAGGTCAACTACACCATGGTATCATGTGAATTTAAGTAATAATAAGAATAAGAATAAAAATAAAAATAAAGAACAAAAGTTTTATTCAGAATTATGAAAAAGAAGAAGGTATATAAGAATAATGGAAATATTTCTCCTCTTCCATTATAATTTACACACTGGGTAGCACATATATCCAGCTGACGAGTCCAATAATACGACGAAACACATGTATATCATAGAGTATACCACTACTAGGGATCAGTTAATTAGTGGATGGATTTTAATGCATAATCAATATTTTATTCTAATAATAATAGTAATAATAATAATAATAATTTGTCTTATTCCAAAAGAGTACTTGTGATACAGAATGGAATTCTCAGCAATTTTACTACAGTATTGCCTCCAGTTAGCAAATTAACAATAAATAAAATTCTACATAAACTAAGGGTAATCTCGCTTAGCTTTGAAAACAACATATTAGCATGTAGTAAAGTCAAAAGTGAACAGAACGCTTCAAGGAGTAAGAATAGTAGAGACTAGCATATTTATTGGCGTAAGCGGTCACCTGACTGCATCAGTTCGAGTGGAGTGCCTTGATCAGTGCAACGTATTTTCTCGGCATTCCCTTCACAGCCAAACATCGCCAGAGTACTTCTCAGTCCACACCTCTGGAGTCATTCCATGAGGTACTGCTGCTTTGCATCGTTTCAGACTAGTAACGGCCTTAGTAACTTCAGTTAGGGACGGAGGACCTGTGTCTATATCTCATCCAAGGAGGAATTGGATGTTCGGTAAATTGAGCGTGGTTGTAGGCCAATTAAACTGCTCCTCAAAGTGTTCTTTCCAGCGTCCCAGTCGTCTATTCCGGGAGCTAATTATGGTGCCATTTTTCTCTGAGATTTGATCACTTATCATTTGCCTTTTACAACCTGATAAGCCTAAATAGTTGTCAGGTGTTACCAATGGCCGACGCCTTTTCCATCTCTTTCGCTTTTGTCGCTCACCACTGTTCACGGTCGTTACGAAGGCTTCTTGTTAATTTGCATTTGAGTAGCTTTCGCTTCTCATCATAATCGGAGCTAGACGGAATAAGTCTTCTTGCGTCAATCAGTTCGCATAAGGCGGTAGAAATCCAATGACTTTAGGTTTCAAGTTATTAACAGCTTTTACAGCTGCGTCTACAGCTAACTGTATGTTGTGCCAGGCTATCACAGGGGAAGTCCTGTTGTCGACCTCAGATACACGTTTCGCTATTTCTTCTGTAAATAGGAACTCTGAGTCTCGATCTAGTTGGGGGACGTAACTGCTTCAGTGGCAGAAATTTTTTAAGTCCGTTTTATCGTAAGCATAAACGTGCGCCGACCAGAGCGTGATCAGAGTCAACGCACGTGTTCCAGAAGGAGCGGCAGTCTTCTGCTGACCCTCGTCAATGACACCCTACCACTATGTGGTCTATCTGGGTCCAGGTCCAGCATTGATTCGGTGACGGAGGTCGCCAGGTTACACAATGTCTTTCTTTGTGCCTAAAGTTAGTGCCGACTAGGAACAGATGATTATCTGAACAGAACTGTAGAAGACGATCACCATTGTCGCTTCGTCGGCAGGGAACTCCATACGTACCACCTACATACACTTCTCAGTCTGGCACAGCTTGCCTACTTGGCCATTGAAGTCACCTGCTAAAATAACTGCATCTGAATGTTTCGCTTTATGCAGCAAATTAGACAGTTTCTGGTAGAAGTCATCTTTTAGTTCATCCGAACTGCAGTCTGTTAGGATGTAAGTGGAGACACTACGAAAAGACAACGACGGGTAACGCCGACATCGAGGAGATATAGTGCGAGGAGAAGATGATAGACTAAGGGCAATTGTGAAGTCAGCTAAAAAGAGAACAGCAGAAAATAGGATAAAGTGGAGATGTGCTTCAGAAGCCTTATGTTCCCCATTCGGAACCCAAGGGAACAATAATAATAATAATAATAAAGACGCTTTCTAGGGAAACACTTGTTTTCAATGGTCCATAAAATTTGCAGAAGCAATAAATTAATGGATGAGCTACGGTGTACACATTCAGTTTTATTGGTTAATGCATATACTACCCTTTGAAAACACACCTTCTGAAACTAAAGAAAGTTATCTTTATTAATGTGATCAAACCATGGCAACTGACATCTCAAGAGCTTCATTCAGCTATTAAGTCCACATTCTACGCCGTATCCCTTTCACCTTATATCTAGAAAATGTTCAGTTGCTACGCCTACGACTAAAGAACGTAATTCTATGAGCTCCACACAAAATCAATATTAATGACAACTTCTCAATTATTTCACATGACTAAAATTCAAGGTTATTAAAGGTAATGGTGGAAGCACTTTGAATTAATCCCAATAAATTTCAACCTTCGCTTACCATGAACTACATGACTTACTAGACCAGTCATTAGTCATCGGTATGTACTTTTGTTTTATATAACTGAATAGTTGCTTATACGTTTTATTTTATAATTGTGATGATGCAAGCTAGTGGTGAAGAGATTGTCAAGAAATTAAGAAATGATATCATTTCACAACATTTGTCAACTTAGTGAACTAATTTATTTTGCTTACCTTGTAACCAGAAGGTTCCTGAGTTCGAGCCCCCAATGAATGGCTACTACCACCGATGAGTGTTCAACTAGGACGAAACACCTGTTGTTCAGTGCCCTCTACTGTTTAACGGTTCTCTAACCGATATCAATCTTTGATCCTATTTGAAACAAATAAGATTCCCACAAACCAACTCTTGAAATGTATTCTGGTACTACCAAGTGGCGCAGTGGTTAGGACTCTCGCCGACCATGCACATGGTCCGGGGTTCGAGCCCTCACCGACGCACACCTGATATCTATGGTCGGCCTGCGAATTTCGGGCTACCGATATCCATGCTGAAAATTCCATACTTGTACCAAAAATACGGTGTGGAATCAAGCTGTAATCCAAAAAAAAAAAAATCGCCTGGAGCTTTGATAAGAAGTCGTAACCAGTAGAGTTCATTCAGTCAGGAAGTGAGGAGAAATACCTGCCACCGATGGCATTGGCTAGTGTCGATCGCGCTATATCGTGAATAGATAGAAGTTGGAATTCAGGAACTGGTGTCATTGTATTGTGTCTCAGTGGCTGAGGGGTCTGCAAACTCGCTGGCCTTGTAACAAGAAGGTCATGGGTTTGAACCCAGTAGATGGGTGAGAACAATTGAAGAGTCCTAAACCAGGACGAAACAACTGTCCACTACTTCCTGTTAGTTTTCCAATGGTTCTCTAACTGCTGTCAGCTCATGATAAAATCCTGTAACCAATCCATCAAATCCCTACAAACCAATACTTGAGTATCAATGAGGTAGGTATTAACAGGAAAAATAAATATAACAGATAAAAGTAACAGGTAGATAAGATAAGACAATGAGATCACAAACCTTTTCCAACTACAAGAAGTCCACCTGTTTGCCAACCATCACCTGACATATTACCAGGAATTTTTGCAGCCTATAGTTATGAGAAAAATAACAATATAAACGTGTAATCAAAATAAATCTTCGTTTAAAAATGTTTGCAGATAACTTCAAGATGGCATTTACTATGTTCCATATAATACACAACCTGAAGTGGATGAGCTAATCTACCCGAGTGATAGTTAATTCCTCCCCCCCCCAGCAGAACCACCACCCCTTTGAAACTTGAAGAAATCATCCTTAAAAGACAATTTACCCAACGAACGATCAGTATATCAATAGTCATCCTATAGGACGACAAGTGCCACCTTGAGTAGTTCATCGGTGACATCACCGACTGAGTGACGCAAGTTCACATCACAAATGGGATATGAGTTCCTTCAGTGTTACAAAATACGTCTTCTTGATAAGTGTGACAGCAACAAAAGTGAAACTAAGGTGCAGATCTTCCTGAGGGTTGCCTTCAACCAGATTGCGAACAATTCACCCATAGATTTCGGAATGGACCAACACCAAAGATTAGACCAATCATTATATCAATTATCTCTACTGAGTACGACTATGAGACGCATTCACCTGCTTAAGGACTTACACTATTACGTAGTTAGTTAGTCAGTTAAAGCTTAGTTACCCAGGACAGATTCTCGGTAGATCAGCCAATGCGTCGGTGGCACAGTGGTTAGGACTCTCGCCGACCATGCACATGGTCCGGGGTTCGAGCCCACGCCGACGCACACTGGATATCTATGGTCGGCCTGCGAATTTTGGGCTACCGACATCCACGCTGAAAATTCCACACTTGTACCAAAAATACGGTGTGGAATCAAGCCGTAATCAAAAATAAAATAAAAATAAAATCAGCTACACTTATTCCATTATGCATAAAATTTCATTTTGATAAAATCACATAGTGTGTTATACAGTAAGTAATATTTACTGATGACTACCACGTTTCGAGCACAAATTATCATTGCCAGTCATAATTATCATATCAAGCCACTCGGTCACACAACTTTCTTGCTTCATTTATGCATAAGTAAAAATTGGGCAAAGTTAAACTTTAAACACTACTAACCACCAATCAGCGAATGATTGGTATTAGATGGTTGGAGACAATCGGCCACAAGAAGCCTTGGACCTAGGTTTCGTGCTAGTTGGCACTCACCAGTCAGCAAGGCGTATCTGCAACCTTGAAGGAACTCATGTCCCTCCTTCTGATATTCGAACCTGCGTCACCCAGTGGGGCTGCAGTCAGAGACGTTACCACTGAGCTATTCTGGTTCGCGATCGACCTCCTGTAGGACTGTATTGCATATTTTTGATTGCATACTAGTGAGTAACTAGTGTAGTGTGTCTAGTTCTATCTTCACTACAGACTAAATTCTATCAGTCAAGCTTGCAGGTCCAAGGCTTCCTGCCGATTGCCTCCAACCATCTAATACCAACAATTTACAGTGCACCGTAATGGCGAGCCACCTAGTAGCATGGTGGCCACATTGCAAGCTTGACTGATAGAATTCAGTCTGCAATGAAGATAGGACTATACACATTTCACACTAGTTACTGACTAATCAAAAAAATCAGAGAATGACCTCGAACGCACCAATCACGTGAAGGAGACGTTTTTGTGTAAGGAATACATACATTTATGAAAAAAAAATGCGTAAAAAACTGTAGAAAAGTGCTACAGAGGATACCTTTCCCTCACATGTGATTAAAGTAGCTCTCAGTTTTAGGTTGGGAGTATCAACAGAGTATAATTCCACTATGGTTAAAATTTATTTTGATAAAGCCTTATAATGTTATGCAGTAATATTTATTATCATTATTTCCTTTAATTTCTAGAGAAACATAGGGCTTCAGCCGCGCGTCTCCATTGCGTTCGGTTCGCTGCTAGAGTTTTCACCTGGCTCCAAGTCTGCCCACATGCTTTCGCCTCCCCTTCACATGACCTCCTCCACTCCATGTCACCCCAGCCTCGCAATGACGACCAACTCGGCGATTCCCATTCGGGTTCTACTCGAGCGATGGCCTGGCGTGGGATTTCTCAGAGTATGGCCAACCCAACTCCATTTCTTTCTGCCTATTTGTTGCACAACCGGTTCCTGCTGGGTTTGTTCGCTCATTGACAGAGATCTCTGTTGCTGATGTTTTCTGGCCGACCATCTGATCTTGAGTATTGAGCGAAGACAACTGTTAATGAAGGTCTGAAGTTTGTTTGAGATGCCTTTTATGACGCGCCAAGTCTCTGATCCGTATATTGGGTAGCACTTACTTCACAATGCAGTTGAAAATCCGGATGTTATTTTTGATGCTGAGTGTTGTTGACCTCCACACAGACTTGAGAGTAATGAAAGCTTGATTGCCTTGCTTTCCCGTCACTTTGATATCCTCGTCAGTTCCGTTCGCCTGTAGTTGAAACGATGCTTCCCAGGTAGGTAGGTAGGTAAAGGAGGTTGCTTCTTCCAGGTCCCTCCCATTTATGCTGACTGATTGTGGTGTGGTCTGTTGTTGTTGCTGTTGGCCAGGAATCTTCATCATCTCTATTTTTCCTATGTTTACTTGAAGTCCTTCCTATCTTTGATGCTTCTTCTGCCAACATGTTGCTTTTCACTTGCATATCTTCCAGTTTGTGCGAAATGAGGCATATATCATCGGCGATGTCCAGATCCTCCAAGATTTTTGTGTGGGTCCATTTTATGCCTGTTTCCTCGTTGCCTGCTGTCTGTCGCATTATCCAATCTACTGCAATCAAGAAAATCATTGGCGATAGTAGGCAGCCAGACAGCCTCGTCTTACTCCCGTCTTCGCTTAAGAGAATTCCGTGAGTTTATTTGGCATGCAGTAATATTTACTGGGCAATAAATTGTGATCGAAACGTGGTCATCAGTAAATATCTTACTGTATAACACCCTGAGATTTTATCAAAACAAATTTTACCCACAATGGAATTATACTCTGTCATAGTGCACAAGCCTCAGGATGGTCGGGGGTGGGTGTCTTGCGCTGCGGGTTGGCCACCCCTCCGTACACCTCTTGAAATGCTCCCATATGACCGGGCGTCTTACATAGCCTCTCCTGAGGAAGTCCTACTCACTGCCTTCACGTGGCGAAGGTGTTTTTCACCAAAGTGAGAGGGCAAAAGCGGATGCCCGGTGCTCTTCACCGGGTTGACTGTCCATTGGATGACAGTCTAGGGGAGATGGCTAAACCCTGATTCCAAACCTCCAACGACTGGCGTATGAAGCTCACTGGAGCTCACCGGCAGACGTATGGACAAAGGACTTGTTGGATGTCCTGGATGACTGGCCCCATTCAAAAAGGCGAATGAACCGGACTCCGGTCACCGGCTGTCAATGGATAGTGGACTTCCTACTCCACTCCTACTGCCTTGTAGGTCACACTTGGTTGTGTAAAGGCTAGAGCTGCACTCTCAAAGAAAAGGCCGAGCGATGCTGGGGACATCACTCGTACCCAATTCCCATGAAACTTCATGGTTCATGAAGCCGGCTCATCCTCCCGTAGGAGATAGCCGAAAATTCCTTCCTTCCGATAGTGCACAAGTTCTATTCTTATCTCAACAGAGAAATTTAACCACATTCTATGCATGTAATTATTTAGGTCTTCTAACCCTGACAATAACCCTAATCTTTCCGGAACCTAAGCCTAACATGAAAATATCCCTAAACTAACTGTAATCTAACTTGAACAAAACCTACTGTCGCCTCCCACCCAAGCTAACTCTAAATTGTCCTTGGGGCTTAAAGAGCAACTTAATCTTTCTAAAACCTAAACTGAAACTTGCCAGATATCCATCCCATTTTTAGTAACCCAACACTTCAATGAGCATATTTTACTGATGAATGAAGACAACATTACTTGCCAGTGTTTTCACTAACATACTCTGTGAGCGTTCCAAAGTCACCGGTATGGTCGCCCTACATTGGTGGTTGATAGTGCTTAAAGTTTAACTTAAATTGATTAGACATTTAAATAAAATCAATATAAGATAGAGTACATTAACACACAACCACACCATAGGGGGGAGGGTGGGATAAAGTCAAAGTTCTAAAAAAGTACTATGGGTAGGTGGAGATTGAGAGAAATTGATTACTGAATCCTGCCTGGTTCATCGGGTCCATATCCAACACATGCAATAGAAATGACTCAACGCAAATGCCAAAGATATAGAAGATATTATTACCACCAGTCAGTCAGTCGAATCAGAGGAGGATAATAAATAATCTTAAAATTCTATTTCGATTCACGTACATCACAACATTCTAACAAGTTACTTATTTGTTTTGACTATAAAGACACTCGTCTTATTTCCCATCTGATTGTATTTGATTGATAACACTAAGATTATTATTTCCAAATGTACTTTATCATCTAATATTGATTTTATTCAAATGTCTAATAGCATCAATTTTCACTCATGTATATAAATGAAGCAAGAAAGTGAGTTGTGTGAGCGAGTGCCTTGTTATGATGATTATGAGTGGCAATGATAATTTGTGCTCGAAACATGGTGGTCATCAGTAAATATTACTTACTGTATAACACTGTGTGAGTTTATCAAAGTAAAATTCTATTCATAATGGAGTTATACTCTAGCATAGTGCCCAAGTTTCATCCTTATATCAATAAGCCACACTTATTGTTTAAACGTTATTGTTCAAAATCAGGTGAGAAAGGCGAGATTCTAAGGACCATTCAGAGATCCATTAGCTGTAATTGGGAATGCTTAAGCCAACGAGCAACATCTCCAAGTGGTATCTGTCGTGGAACAAGAAGTCTAATGAATAGTGTTTTGGTGTTTGAAACGACGAGCGCTGAGAATGAGCCTCAATGGGAATACGATCACTCACTGGGGACTGTAGGTGCACCTCGATGACGAGCCCCAAATAGGATGAAGTGCATAGATTGGCTAGATTCCAGCGCCACCAAATTACTTCAGGTTGAAGGATCCATACTAGGATCTGGCATATCAACAGAGGCCAAACATTTCAGTTCAGTATCACCCACCGATCGACGGGGAAAACAAAATTGTCTTAAACAATATAACACCTTCAAACGATTGAAAACCAACAACAACTACAGACGTCTTCATCTTCAAATCCTAAAAGTTACAGTGGCCAAATTACTCGCCTAAATTACTCTAATTTTACTTATTGAATTAGTTAGTTAAATAAATAATCAGTAGAATACGATCAATCACCATCATCGGGAGAGACTTGGAGGAGGTTATTCCCTTGACTTATCTAGCCAGGAAGCATAGCTTCAACCAGAGGCGACAACACAGATAAAGATGTCTAAGCCAGGCATAATCGCATAGGCAAGATACACCTTCATCACTCTGAAATCAGTTTGGAAGTCTTCTACACCCAGCCAGCATAAACAACAAGATTCTCACTTTCAACAGTTCTTCTATACAGGTCAGAAACTTGCCTCTGGCGTCACAAAAAGGATTTCCAACAAGTTACAGAACTTCACCAACAGCTACCAATTTCGCTGGCTCCATATTGAAGATAAAACGGCCAGCCGGCTAGAAAGAATTTGGTGTAACAAGAAACTCTGACTGGCTGGCAACAAACCAACCAAGAGCCGATCACTCAACAAATATGTACGAGAAAATGGGGAAGGATTGGGAATACGCCACTGAGGAGGCCATCGAATGGCTAAACGCACAATGCGGGCCATCTCTCATGTGAAATCCCAATGAGAAGCGACGAGTGGGTCATATCGGTGCGATGGTGACAAAAAGCAGATCATGTGAGAAGGAGATGACAGATTATGGACAATCGTGGAGCAAGATGAAGAGGACATCAGAATACAAAACGAAGTGGAGATGTGTGTGTTGAAGACCTATGTTCCATCCGGAACCAATATATGTATAATATTTTTTTATTTTTGATTACAGCTTGGTACAGGTATGGAATTTTCAGCATGTGATATCGGTGGCCCAAATTTTGCAGACCGACCATAGATATCAGGTGTGCGTCGGCAGGGATTAGAACCTCAGACCATGTGTATGGTCGGCGGGAGTCCTAACCAGTGTGCCACTGGCGCACAAGCGGAGTGCGTTCTCTTTGTTTCCAGAGACTTGGCGACGCATCACAAAAGGCACTGTGAACAAACTACACTCCTTCATCAAAAGCTGTCTTCGCTAAATACTGAAGATAAAATGCCCAGGAAAGATCAGTAACAGGGACCTCTGGGTGCGAACCAACCCAGCAGGATTCAATTGTTCAACAAATAGGCAGGAAGAAATTGAGAAGGATTGGCCATACTCTGAGAAAACAAACCATCAAGTGAATGGCATCATATGCCAGGCCATCGCTCGATTAGAACCCAAATGGGAAGCGTCGAGTTTGTCATGAAGGAGGTGATGCGAAGAGGAGATGAAAGCAATTGGGCAAACCTGGAGCCAGGTGAAAACGCTGGTAGAGAACTGGACGCAATGGAGACGTGCGGCTGAAGCCCTATGTTTCTCTGGAAACTAAAGGAAATAATAATAATAATAATAATAATAATAATAATAGAATACCACATACACACACGTATAAAAAAGGCCAACTTACTTTTGCTTGAGCATTCAAAGCTCGACCAGCTTTTGAAAATAAAGTCTTAAGACCAGAGCATGCAGATACCTTTTTATACTCTAATGCTTTGTAGGTACTTCGATCAGGATCCAAGTAAAGATCTGTAAGCAAATAAAGTAAATAAATCCTGTCAAAATGTTCTAAAATGTAATGGATCTCAAATTAAAAGAAAACAAATAGAAAACACGTGTTTCGCTATACTCAGTGTGTAGACCCAAAGTCGTAGGCAGGCAAGCCAGCTATACACAAATTATATAATATAATGATACAAATTACCGATCATATCAACTAAAGGGTTAAAGTAACAGTAAACAACTACTGATCTATGTAAGTAGTTGGAAACTTAGGAGTACTGGGCAACTGTTTCGTCTCCCATTAGTTTGGAACTCTTGATCCACACGCACCCACCTACCAACAGGGTTCGAACCCACGGCCTTCTGACTATAGCGTGAATTAGCACACACTGAAATTTATGGCACATTGGATCATTTCCCAGTGGCTGAATGGTCTAACAAGCTTGCCCTGCAAGCGAAAAGCTGTGGGTTCGAACCCTAGCGGTGGTTGTATACTGATGAAGAGTCTTAAACTAGGACGAAACGGCTATCCAGTACTACCCGTTGGCTTTCCCAGTGGTTCTCTAACTGATATCAGCTCATGATGAACTCCTGTAAATAATCAAATCTCTGAAAAAAAACATCCAAATAGTTGAAAGATATTCACATTCACAAGTGAAATTTGGAGTGATCTAACTACGAGTTGATCACGGATTGACTTGAGTTAGAGAACAATTGAAAACCAGCACAGAAGTACTGAACAGCTGCTTCATTTTAGTTTGGGAATCATCGTAAGTACACACCCACTGCCACGGTTCGAACCCACGACCTTCCAGTTACAAGCCAAGCTGCCTCGTATACCATTCAGCCACTGGGACCCGACTCCTCAATGACCGGCCCATGAATCCTAAGTTTTACCAATTCGTGATGCACTTAGCGCGATCACCAAACAGTGTCGTCGGTGGGACATCCATCCTCACACTTGACCGCAGGACGCAGTTTTCCGGAGTTCTAGTGAGAAGTCGTGACCAGTGAAGTCCATCCAGTCAAGTGTGAGGATGGATGTCCCACCGATGACATCGGTTGGTGGTAGCACTAAATCACGAATTGGTAGAAGTTAGAATTCATGGGCTAGCCATTGAGGAGTCGGTTCCCAGTGGCTGAATGGTATACTGGCTTGCCTTGTAACTGGAAGGCCGTGGGTTTGAACCCTGGTGATAGGTAAGTACTGACGATGATTCCCACACTAGAGTGAAACAGCTGTCTAGTACTCTCTGGTTTCCAATGGTTATCTAACCGATATCAATACGCGTCAACTCGTAAAAACATAACTAAATCTTACAAACCAACTATAGAAAAGTGATCTAATTACTAGATGATGGTTATCTACTTTTGAAATGGAGCTTATCAGCGATGTACTCGATGTGAGACCCTAGTAACTAATCCTACAAACTAACACTTGGAAAACAATCTAGTTCCCACACTAGTAACAGACTACAGAATAAAGTTACCTGGAGTTCTACTAAGAAGTCATGACCAGTGGGATACACCAGGTAGGTCATCGTGTTTGTGTGTGAGAATAATTTTTTACTCACAGTTGACACTGGTTGGCGATCGCGCCAAAAACCGTGAACTGACAGAAGATGAAAGTCATAGACCACTAGATTTTGTCTCAGTGATTGGATAGTCGACAAGTCCGCCTCATAACCTACAGAGTACCAGGTTTGATCCCTGTTAGGATAATAGATGTGTACTATTGAACAGTTTCAAACTAGGTCTCAATAACAGACCATTATTCCTGACTGACTGGTTTCAACGTAGAAATCTGCACCGATGTGCAGGAGTTCAAGTTGCCACACTCCATATAGCCCACACAGCAAGAGAAGAAAGTAGAAGAAATGCGTATTAGAGACAGTGAACACGGATATGAGACAAAAGAAATAGCAATATCGAACAACCATATACTTTCATTGGAAATTATAAGTCACAAGGAATGGATGCATCTGCGTCAGTCATTGAAAACGATTTTGAGCCATGTCATCAATTGTCTCCATCATTCATTGGTTTTTACCATCCCCAAGACCCCAACCAGTCAGGAAGTCTACACCTCCCTATGTGGCTTAAACTAACTGTTGTGGATTTCATTGACTGTTGAGGCCATGTTTTGGTTTGACCGTCAGTCACTAGCTCTTTTCCAACCTGATCCTATGTCAGCTAACATTTCCTGTTTTCACGGAAGGCGATGCCTAGGGATGCATAAGTAACACATGTTCTTCGTTATTACTATTCCTCTGTCTCACACCTCTGTTTACTGTCTCTATTACGCATTTCTTCTACTTTCTTCTCTTGCTGTGTGTGCTACATGGAGTGTGGCGACTTGAACTGCCGCATATATGTGCAAAGTTCTATGTCGAAAACAGACAGACATATTCTAAGTCAACGAGATTATTCCCTGGTGGTAACAAGTCAATCCCTGATTTGTTGAAGTGTCCATTACTCCACTAACTGATCTTTAATAGTTTTTTTTTTTTTTAACTAATATCAATCCACGATCAAACTTAAAACAGATCAAATTACAGAATGGGAAAAAATACAATCGTCTTTTCGCACAGAACATTGTCTTAATTCAAGAGTTCATAGAATAATTATTAAAGGAGTAACAAGTACCCTGATAATGTCTTACTAATGACAACAATACATCTCTGGATTGTAAGTGTATGCTCAACTAACTCTAAGTAATATCGTCATTTATTACTGATGTCCTGGCCAGGCATCTGGTTTCAATACTCCTCTGAATCTCAGTTCATCTAGCTAATGAGTCTGAGATGAGAAAAGCAAAGGTACGTATATCTGTTGCAGATTTCACTGCAAAGTTCACATAAAATCAAGCAAAAACATTGAGGTATTTGTTTTTATAGAACTTAAAAGTTAATCTGAACTAAGAATATTCTTTTCAATAATTTCTCCTCTTCACGTCCTTACAATTATAAAATACAATATTTGTTGTCGTCGTAACAATAATGATAGCCAGTTAGTTATGCGGTTGATACATTTTTAACGTTGACTAACAGATTAGTAATTATGGGGTGTCAAAGTAAATAATCGCATTCGTGTGACAAACGTCGTGTTAGGCTGAAATTGATTACAAAATATTTCGGTGAAATGGGAGACAATGGTGATGATGATTAGTCGTCATAATAGATTCGTAGAATATGGGGTAGAAAAAAGTTGACAAGTTAGTTCAAGGTTATAAGTGGTGTCAGGTGAGTAAGTGGCTAGTACAAAAGTGGTCTGAGTTAAACAGGAGATAGTAAGACTGTAAGGAGAGGTTCATAATGAATTAACGAATGTGTGAAATGAAACAGGTGGAGGCACATATTGAGAAAACAGATAATATCACTAGTAACAATAAGTCCGGATAGTATAAATGGAACATTCGATAGTGTTGTGAGAATGTTTGCATGAAGGGTATAAATTATGACGAATAATAATGACAGTAATTGTAATAATAAGCAAAGGAAAAAACAAAACCAAGGAAGTTAAAGGGAAGAAGCACTCTTGGTGAGAAGAAGAATCATCAATCCAAGTTTTGACACGTTAGGAAAAGCGTCTGGACGTGTTCTTCTAGAATACAAAGTCCCGGTTTAATCGATCTTATTGCAACAGCTTCAGCTCTGTGTAGGAGACGTACGAAAACTGTACGTGATAATGATTTCAAGATTCGGTATACAACCCTGAAAACTGTGTTGACATCGATACGATGTCCAGTATCGACCAAGTGTGACAGGATTGAGCTTTTTATGCACTTAATTCCCCCACCCTACTGAACCAAGCTGGTAAATGTTCTCGAACTAGTAGAGGAACCTGCCTAATCGTGCGCGGTTGCAATAAAATCGATTAAACCGGAACTTTGTATCCAAAAAGAACACGTTCAGACGCTGTTCCTACCGTCGCCAAACTTGTATTATTGATGACTTCTCTTCTCACCAGGACTGCTCCTTCCCCATAACCCTCTTGGTTTTATTTTATTTCCTTTGCTTATTATTACAATTATAATTGTTCATCATAATTTATACCATTCATGCAAACATTCTCTCAATACTATCGAATTTTCCATTTATACTATCCGGATATATTATTAGTCATATTATCGCTTTTCTCAATGTATGCCTCCATCTGTTTCATTTTACACATTCGTTATTTCATGATGAACCTCTCATTGCAGTCTTACTATCTCCTGTTTATTGCAGACCACTTTTGTACTAGCCACTTACTCACCTGACACCACTTATAACCTTGAACTGGCTTGTCAGTTGATTTAAGTATAAAACTTGGGCCCTGTGGTGGAGTATAACTCCATTATAGATAAGATTTTATTTTGATAAATCACACGGTGGTGTTGTACAGTTACATTAACTGATGACCACGTTTCGAGCACAAACTATTGCCACTCATAATCATATCAAGTAACTCACACAACTTTTTCCTTTCATTGATACACATGTGGGGAACTGATGATTAGATATTGGATTAAAAATCAATGTGAGATAATATCCATTCAGAATTAATAGTACGAGTGTTATTGTCCCATTACAATTATATGGGAAATACGAATGTTTTATACAAGTGTTTTTTTTATAGTCATAATACGTTACTTGTTAGAATGTTTTGATGTGCTTGAATTGAAATAGAATTTTAAGATTATTCGTTATACTGTCTGTTTTCGACATAGAACTTTGCACAAATGTGCGGAAGTTCAAGTCTCTTCTGATTTGACCTGCGGTAATAATATCTTCCATATTTCTGGTATTTGCATTGAGTCATTTCTGTTGCATGTGTTGGGTGTATAGACTCGATGAATAAGGATTCCGTAATCAACCTCTCTCTATCCACCTACCTATATTACTTTTTAGAATTTTAACCCTATCTCACCCTATTCTGTGGTTGTTTGTTAAGGCGTGAAGTGCAATAGCTGAGCTTTTTTCTAAATTACTTATCTTTTCAGGGTCAACCATTCTTACCTTAGCTAAATTCTTATGTTCTGATAATCTGACTACCCCTAACCTACTAGCTTGACCTATGTAGTTGACCTCAAAATCATTGCAGGGTATTTTGTAAATTATGTTATTTTGTCTAATTGGGTCCACGGGGTCTTTTAGCCTACAGAGCTTGTCTCTGAGTGAGTTTGTAGGTTTAAATGCCACCCTAATTCCTGGTTTGTCAGTTTTTC